AGTCATCCTCCAATGCAAGAGTTGGGGGTTCGAATACACCAGCAGTCACATGCCGAAGTGTCCCTGGGCAAGACACTGAACCCCTCATTGCCTCTGATGTGTGTCCCATTGGTGTATGCTAGTGATCTCAAAGCACTGATTAGTCTCTTTATAAATATTTGTTCAATTAGCTTTGTAGAGTTTTAGTACAATGCTGTATGAATGGGTAAATGAGGCACAGATTGTGTTGTAAAGCGCTTTGAGTATCTGGATAAGATAGAAAGGTGATACTGTATATACAAACCGGATTCCAAAAAAGTTGGGACACTAAACAAATTGTGAATAAAAATTGAATGCAATGATGTGGAGATGGCAAATGTCAATATTTGATTTGTAATATAACAGATGACAGATCAAAAGTTTAATCTGAGTAAATGTAACATTATAAAGGAAAAATATGTTGATTCAAAATTTCACAGTGTCAACAAATCCCCAAAAAGTTGGGACAAGTAGCATTAAGTGGCTGGAAAAAGGAAATTGAGCATATAACGAACAGCTGGAAGACCACTTAACACTAATTAGGTCAATTGACAACATGATTGGGTATAAAAGAGCTTCTCAGGGTGTCAGTGTCTCTCAGAACCCAAGATGGTAAGAGGATCACCAATTCCACCATTGTTGCGCAGAAAGATAGTGCAGCAATGCCAGAATGGTGTTACCCAGCGTAAAATAGCAAAGACTTTTAAGTTATCATCATCAACCGTGCATAACATCATCAAAAGATTCAGAGAATCTGGAACAATTGCTGTGCGCAAGGGTCAAGGCCGTAAAACTCTACTGGATGCTCGTGATCTCCGGGCCCTTAAACGTCACTGCACCTCAAACAGGAATGCCACTGTCAAGGAAATAACAGAATGGGCTCAGGAATACTTCCAGAAAGCATTGTCAGTGAACACAATCCACCGTGCCATCCGCCGTTGCCAGCTGAAACTCTACAGTGCAAAGAGGAAGCCATTTCTAAGCAAGCTCCACAAGCTCAGATGTTTGCACTGGGCCAGGGGTCATTTAAAATGGAGTGTGGCAAAATGGAAGACTGTTCTGTGGTCAGATGAGTCACGATTTGAAGTTCTTTATGGAACACTGGGACGCCATGTCATCCGGACCAGAGAGGACAAGGATAGCCCAAGTTGTTATCAACGCTCCGTTCAGAAGCCTGCATCACTGATGGTATGGGGTTGCATGAGTGCTTGTGGCATGGGCAGCTGGCATGTCTGGAAAGGCACCGTTAATGCAGAGAACTATGTTCAGGTTCTAAAACAACATATGCTCCCATCTAGACATCATCTCTTTCAGGGAAGACCCTGCATTTTTCAACACGATAATGTCAGACCACATTCTGCAACAATCACAACATCATGGCTACATAGGAGAAGGATCCGGGTACTGAAATGACCAGCATGCAGTCCAGATCTTTCACCTATAGAGAACATTTGGCACATCATAAAGAGGAAGGTGTGACAAAGAAGGCCCAAGACGATTGAACAGTTAGAGGCCTGTATTAGATATGAATGGGAGAGCATTCCTATTTCTAAACTTGAGAAACTGGTCTCCTCTGTCCCCAGACGTCTGTTGAGTGTTGTAAGAAGAAGGGTGGATGCCACACACTGGTAAAAATGGACTTGTCCCAACTTTTTTGGGATTTGTTGATGCCATGAAATTTGGAAACAACAGATTTTTTCCCTTAAAATGATACATTCTCTCAGTTTAAACTTTTGATCTGTGATTTGTGTTCTATTCTGAATAAAATATTAGATGTTGGCACCTCCACATCCTTGCATTCAGTTTTTATTCACAATTTGTTTAGTGTCCCAACTTTTTTGGAATCCGGTTTGTAAGTGCAGTCCATTTACCATTTACCGCCTGTGAATAGCAAACAGCCACCAGGGTACTAACTATTGGTCGTTAGACTGATGGTCCTCCTTTATCATATGAACAGCTAGTTCTGGATGTCACCAACAAACTGGTTGATCCACTATGAGAAGGGGCTATTTATAAGACTGAGTTTATTGCGGCTCCTCAGACAGAAAAAGTATTTTGGGTAACAGACGCAACTTTCAACGTTTTTTATTTTTCAGTCCGTCCAGAGGACCTGACTTAACTTAATGAGATTTTTCTACCTGGATTATTGAGCATGCATCAGGATATCTACAGGTATCCATCAATCTGGCTGAAATAGTAAACTATCTATCATGAGCAATGTCGTGGAAAAAAGAAATGCCCAAAACAATCAGGTGTAGGCTTCTTCATATTTATTTAAAACATTGGAAAACAGTCAGCAATCACAGAAGATCAATGCAATTACCACTACAAACTTATCAATACTTTCACATGTCTGTGGCTCTGACCCATTTTGAGTTTCCTATAGTAAAACTGTTAGTTTATAGAATTCCCCAGGCGCCAGTTTACTCATCCTCCCCCCTTCGCTCTGTCGAGCTGTTCTCAAAACCCCAGCTGCACATAGAGAAACATCAGGGGGGTTGGTTGTGGGAGACAAAACACTTCTCAAGGCCTCTCTGGAAACACATCACTGTATCATATCAATATCATATCAATCAAACCTTGAGCATAAAAAATATGATCTCTTCTCTGTCTCTCTACTGACCGGTCACATTGAGACAGATTATAATTATAATATAGGGAAAAAGATCATGGAACATTTTAATCTCATTCACAATAACAGTAAAGAAGCAGTGCACAAATACACATTGCCTCGACAGGCACGTATTATGATTTTGGAAAGGAAGTTTTAATATGTCTTGTTTAATTGAGGTATGTCTAAGTACACACAGCAATAAATAACAAGGAGCAAAATAATTAAGGAAAATGTCACAGATTAAAATACGTTTTCCGTAAAGTCAGTGAAGGCATTCAGGCATGTAAGCATGTTGCTGGCTTCTGTCTGATCTGTACACAGCTGGAGTGAAAGTGGCTGCTGCGTCTGACACGGTATTTGCATGCCCTCTGCATCTCCAAGGCTGGGTTGTATCTTCTTGCCAATACCACTGACAACATGCATGAGATGAAGATATCTTGTGCTTTTGGCAAGGTCTCCCACAAAACCTCGATTTCTTAGGATACACTGCACAACAAACCTTTTTTTAAGCCACACCAGAGTAAGTAACTAACATCACACACAAACATGTGGAGCTGAATCTGGTAGTAGTATGAGTGTGAGTGTTTCAACACAAATGACATGTCCAGACCGAACCGATTGTCTTCTGTAAATGGACTGTACTTATACAGCACCTTTCTATCTTATCAAGATACTCAAAGCACTTTACATTACAATCTGTGCCTTCATTTACCCATTCATTCACTCTCTTGTAAATGAGTCCTCGAGGCTCAATGGGATTTACCTGTATAAATAAAGGTTGATTGATTCATACAGCACTCTACTAGCTCTATACAAAGGCTACCGGTAATCATTGCTTTTTGGATCACATTCATACACTGATGGGACACACATGGGAGGCAATGAGGTGTTCAGTGTCTTGCCCAGGGACACTTCAACATGTGACTGCTGGTGGAATCAAGCCCCCAACTCTCCCATTGGAGGATGACTGCTCTAACCAGTCAACTACAACTGTCTACATGTGTTTTGTGGACTTGAAAAAAGGCGTTCAACCATGTTTCTCGTGGTACACTGTGAGATGTGCTCTGCAAGTATGGGATTGGGGACCTGTTGATACAGGTGTTCAGACCCTATAGAAATGGTGCAAGAGTTTGGTTTGCATTGCCAGCAGTAAGTCAGACCTCTTCAGTGTGGGATTTGGACTCCACCAGGGCTGCCCATTATCAACGATTCTGTTCATGACTTTTATGGACAGAATTTCTCCATGCAGCCAGGGGACGGAGGGAGTCCAGTTAGGTGGTCTCATGATTCCGTCTCTGCTATTTGCAGGTGATGTCCAATCTGTGTCATTGTGCCATGATCTTCAGCTCTCACTGAAGTGGTTTGCAGCCGAGTGTGAAGCAGCTGAGATGAGAATCTGCACCTCCAAATCTGAGGTCATGGTCCTCAGTCGGAAAAGGGTGGATTGTTCTCTTCGGGTTGAGGGTGAGGTTCTGCCTAAAGTGGAGAAGTTCAAGTATCTCAGGGTTTTGTTCACAAATGAGGGAAGAATGGAGGGTGAGATTGACAGATGGATTAGTGCAGCGTCTGCAGTATTGCGGACTCTGTGCTGGTTTGTCGTGATGAAGACGGAGCTCAGCTGTAATGTGAAGCTCTTTGTTTACCTGTCAGTCTAGGTTCCTACCCTCAACTACGGCCACAACCTCTGGGTAGTGACAGAAGGAACAAGATCATGGATACAGGCAGTTGAAATGAGTTGCCTCTGCAGGGTAGCTGGGCTCTCCCTTAGAGATAGGTTGAGAAGTTTAGTTAGCAGGGAGAGACTCGGAGTAGAGACGCTGCTCCTCCACATAGAGAGGAGCTAGTTGAGGTGGTTCAAGCATCTGGTAGGGATGCTCCCTGGGCACCTCCTTAAGAAGGTGCTTTGGGCATGTCTGACAGGGAGGAGACGCAGGGAAGACCCAGGACACGCTGGAGAGCTCATGTCTCTCAATTGTCCTGGGAATGCCTTTAAGTCCTCCCAGAAGAGGAGGCTGTGGAAAGAGATGTCTGGGCCTCAAGCGTCTGCCCCCACCACCTGACTTCAAGACAAGTCAGGTCGCAAGCAACAATCAGTCAGTCGAGCGATCATTGTGAACCCCGCAACTCAAAAAGGAAGAAGCAGGTAAAGATAATGGATAGATGGATGGAAAACCTACAAAAATTAGTCTAAAAAAGTCATGCTATATGTTGGTTTCTTAAAAATGCCACTTACAGGCTTGTAATAATTTTTTTTAATTACACAGACCATTTTAATGTTTGAATACATACAACACAACAGAAACAAGAAATAGACAATGTACTTTTTTTTTTTTTTTTGCATAAGGCACTGTTTTAAGTGTTGTCTTTTTCATAGTTGCTGTTCGACAAACTGTATCTGAGCATACACAGTCCAATTACGTGACGCCTTTGTCTCTGGAAGTGGCTTCATCAGATCCAGCTCTGCATACATCAGGCTCTCCTCCACTATCCTTGGCTAAAGTTGTGGGGAGGGAGAAAAACAAAATTCATGATGGTGAGGAGGGAGTTGTGGTGAGGAGGGAAGCTGGAGATAAAAGTTTATGAAAAACTAATAAAGCAAATTACAGGGCTCAAGGTAATGTAGAGTTATTGTTAAAAATGACCAGGTTTGGTAAATGTTTACAAGCTGTGTGCTCTTATTGAGTCTTCAGCTCTGAAACCTCTGGAAACATTCTCAATAAAATGTTGTCACGTTTTTCAAAATCCTTTTTGGCGTGTATCTTTCAGCCTTTATTCACTCTAATGTGAGTTACTTTTCATTGGCTGCAGTGATGGTAAAAATAAATTATCTCAAAATATATATGTAAAACAATGTACTTCACAAATGAATATATTTCTTTTGTAAATTATATAGCAGTTAAGAAGATTAACTGAAAGGTATAAAGAACAACAAAGAAACAAATGAACTCACCAGTACAACTTTCCGTGATTGAGGTTTTAAAAGTTTGTGTTTGTTTGTTTTGTCTCCAATGGGAACTGCATGAATGAAACAAAAGTGAGTGACTTTGCAAAGATCCATGGTAGCAATGCATAAAACAATCGAGCACATACTTGGTACTTATCTAGTGCATGATATATATTGGTTACTTACTTGGTATTTATTGTGTAAAAAAATAGTACAAAATTTGTATTTTACCTTGTGCTTACTGGTTAAGTTTGAACTTCCGTGGTACATATCTGGTAATTCCCTGGAACATTCTTGATTCTTATCTGTTGCATACCTTGTATATACACAGGGTATATATGTGGTACTTACTTGGTATGTACTTGTGACACTGTGAATACTTCCCTGCTATGTATCTGGTATTTAATGGGAACATACACAGTATGTATTGGGTACATGCCTGGTACTTACTTATTCAGTCAGTACCAGGAACACATCTGCTATGCACTCAGTAAGTACCAGATACATAACCAGTACATATTAAGTAAGTACCAGGTAAGTACCTGTACATACATCCAAGATAAGTATGCAAGTACCTAGGGTGCGGATACCTGGTTAGTACTTAGCACATATTGGTGTATATTGTGTACTGCTGTCATATTATGTACCACAATAAGTGTACAATGTAAACATTCATGCACAAAATCAGAATATTTTTTGTTGCTCGAGTAAAGTCAAATGGAAATTTGATTCCGTCCTTTGGCGTTCCTCTGAAAGTACAAGTTGAGTCAGCTCAAACTGTTCAGGGCACTTTGGCTGGCTAATTACTCCGTTTTGACTTTATGAGGAAAACAAAGTACAATAGAAAAAAAAAAGTCTCCTGTGGGAAATGTTAAATGTCTGAGATCTGTTTATTTCTAATATGAGCTTGTAATGTTTGAATATCCACGATGGCCATAAACTCTGTATTGTCTGATCATTAAAGGCAGAAATGACCGTTGTTCACCTTTAGCTGGTATCTCTGGTGGTTTGTTCTCCTGGTGGTTTTTGTTCCTTCTCTTCCTGTATTTCCTCTCCTTCTTAGGAACTACTGGAGAGACACTGATCATACTGGTAACTGTCTCTCTTGAACTGGAAATAAAACACATTACGGAAGTACATGTTTAATGTTATATTTTGTCTATAATTATATGTAAAAACACAGTATTTGTTGATTGGAAGTTGTTTTGACCTCAAACCATACCTGTCCTGAGGGCTCTTCACTAAGTGGTATTTCTCTGCAAACATATTACACATATGAGTTTAAGTACTGGTAAAAATGGGACAGGATTGGGATATCATTGTGATTGAGTGAATGCTGAGTCATCAATGCTGAGTCATCAATGCCGAGTCAGATTTCACTCAAAATGTTCTTGTTTCTGTTTCGTCTGTACATTAATTGCATACGAACTACTACATACAGAATTTAGTCCTCTTAACCATTATTTATTCAAATCTTCAGTTTAAGTAGGAATAGTGTGATGATGTTTCAAACTTTGAAAATATTTAATTTTATCTTAAAATAAGTTTCCCATAGAATACACAGATATCCCTTCAGTTCCTTTAAAATCATTGTTGTATTTTGAATCTGCTTCAGCTCATGTGCTCTATATTTTGTCTTGTGTGTGTGTGTGTGTGTTTCTTTTAGCTTACAGAGACTGTTTTGCCATGTTTCACTTTTAGTTAAAGTTTTTACACATTTAGCTTTCAGCTACTGTTTTGCTACTTTTTGCTTTTGTTTTTTCTTCTTTTTTATTATTTTTTTAACCACCTTCAGCTGGAGACACGGTGACTCAGTTGGTAGAGCTGCCGTTTCTCAGCGAGAAGGTCGCTTGTTCAAGTCCTGTCTGGTAGACCTTTCTGGGTGGAGTTTGCATGTTCTCTCTGTGCATGCGTGGGTTTTCTCTGGGTACTCCAGTTTCCTCCCACAGACCAAAAACATGCATGTTAGGCTGATTGGTAACTCTAAATTGTCTCTAGGTGTGAGTGAGAGAGTGAATGGTTGTCTCGTTTGTCTCTATGTGTCCCTGTGATGGACTGGAGACATGTCCAGAGCATCTACCACCTCTCACACAGTGACTGCTGGACATGGACACCAGTGACCCCCGCAACCCGAAAAGGAAGAAGCGGGTAAAGATGATGGATGGATGAACTACCTTCTGCATCTTTTAGCTTTTGGCTACTAATCTGCTCTTTTTTAGTTATGGTTTTGTATGGTGGCCCTGAGATGTAAATGAACATTTCAAAAAAACAGAATTACATTAAGCCAAAGTGGAAGTGGCCGGAATCACATTTGAAAAAACAGAATCACTCAAAAATTATATAATTTTTGTTTTTTCAAATGTTGTTCATTTACACCTTAGGGCCACTGTGGTTTTGACATATTTATCTATTGTTTAGTTGATTTTAGGTTTAGCATTTATTTAGCTAATTTTAGCTACTACTTTTCTTTCTAGCTTGTATTGCTCATTAGCCTCTGTTCTGATTGTTTTAGCTTCTGTTTAGCATGTTTTAGTTTTAACAACTCAGGTTCAGCTTCTTCAGTCATTCAGCTTTTAGCACTCCTACTGGGTTTTGTCAAAAAGCATTTTCTGAGTCAGAACATAATCTTCCCACTGATGTGAGAGTTGCTGCTGACCTTTTAGCCTCTGCTTCCTCTGTATGAACTGGCAGGTCATCGTCACAGTGAACATGCACATGCACAGTAACCCCACTGAGCAGATCAGCACTGCACACAGGTACACATCTGGAATAAGATTGGTTCACAACACAACAAACCCATGCTTGTTACTTCTTCCATTTGTACAAAATATTACAGGAGAAAAATATACACGTGAATTGGTTTAAACAGCGTATCTTTTGGTCGTGCTATTTTTGCTTATGAGTTCACCACAACTGTGCACACACAAAACCAGGCTAAAAATACTGTTACCTTCAAACAAACTCCAGAGGTTTTCTTTGGCCTTGGTGGTCAGTAGAGTATGCACTGTAGAGAACAACAGAAGAAGAGAAATGTAGTCATCGCCTTGTTTACACGCTGGCTGCAGTTTAAATAAAGTGGAGGAAGACATGGGACTGGTCTCCTCCCAGCTGACTGTCTCTGATTTAACAACCACACCGCTCAGTCTCTGTTGGAGGAAATCAAGAAATATTTCAACTCAAAAGCATCTTGATCTCAGTGTGAGTCATACAAACAATAGGAAACTTGTGCACGTTTGTTAGAAAATGTTCAGTGTCTGACCAGGGTAAAACCTGAAGATCCTGTGGAAGTTTAATATTCACACTATTGTCCTACATGGATCTGTTCTGTTCTGTTACTGTGCATCGTCAAAACACAAATATGTTTTTTTTCATGTTTGTGTGTCTGTCTGTTAACAAAATATCTCATAAATCACTGGAAAGTTTTATTGAAACTTGCAGAAATTAATCATTGGATCTACAACTGTTTACCGTTTAGGAGACGTCCCAAGTTAACAGGCGCAGAAACATCAAAAAGTTGGTTTTACAGAAGGAAATTCCATTCATCCATCCATCCATCATCTTTACCTGCTTCTTCATTTTTGGGTCACAGGGGTCACTGGTGTCCATGTCTAGCAATCACTGTGCGAGAGGCGGGGGACACCCTGGACAGGTCTCCAGTCCATCACAGGGACACAGAGACAAACAACCACTCTCACCTAGGGACAATTTAGAGTTACCAATCAGTCTAACATGCATGTTTTTGGTCTGTGGGAGGAAATCAGAGTACCTGGAGAAAACCTACACATGCACGGAGAGAACATGCAAACTCCACCCAGAAAGTTCCCCAGACTGGGATTTGAACCGGGGCGACTTGCTCGCTGAGAGGCAGCAGCTCTACCAACTGAACCACCGTGCTGCCCCAATTCAATTCAGTTTATTTATATAAGTACGTATGTAAACTTTATTTTTATAGTACTTTTCATGGATAAAATCACAAAGTGCTTTACAGAAATACAGAATACAGGCTTAAAATAAAACAAAAATAAGAACAGTTGATTTAAAAACAGGGGGCAGCACGGTGGCGCAACTGGTAGAGCTGCTGCCTCTCAGCGAGCAGGTCCCTGGTTCAAACCCCGGTCCGGGGGCCTTTCTGGGTGGAGTTTGCATGTTCTCTCCGTGCATGCGTGGGTTTTCTCCGGGTGCTCCGGTTTCCTCCCACAGTCCAAAAACATGCGTGTTAGACTGATTGGTAACTCTAAATTGTCCTTAGGTGTGAGTGAGAGAGTGAATGGTTGTTTGTCTCGTTTGTCTCTATGTGGCCCTGTGATGGACTTGCGACCCGTCCAGGGTGTACCCCGCCCCTCGCACAGTGATTGCTGGACATGGGCACCAGCGACCCCCCGTGACCCAAAATGGAATAAACGGGTAAAGATAATGGATAATGGATGGATTTAAAAACAGTAAATAAAACATTTAGCTAAAAGCTTGTCTGAATCAAAGTATCTTAAGCTGCTTTTTAAAGGAGTCAACAGAGACGGTCACGCGTAGAGACAGGGGCAGGGCATTCCACAGACGGGGGCTACGGTCTGAAAGGACAGGTCACCTTGAGTTTTAAACTGGGTCTTAGGGACATTTAAGAGGTTCAACGCTGAAGACCGAAGGGTGCAGGCTGAAGAATAAGGAGTCAACATCTCAGTGATGTATTGGGGGGTCTGTCCATTTAAAGCTCTAAAAGTTAAGACTAAAATTTTTAAATGAATTTTAAATTCAACAGGCAGCCAATGAAGAGAAGATAAAACGGATGTGACACAACAAGTGTATGCCGATGTAAACTAAGGGATGTGAACAGTGAATGTTTGTAGTTTTCAGATTAGTGTTTGTCTGGACTGGATTTGAACTGGGAATGTATGCTTTTTAAACAGTCTTTTTATTGAGCTTTTCTTTTCAGAACACACACCTGGTAACAATTTAAAGTTATCAAATACAATAACATGCACATTTTTGTTCTGTGGGAGAAAAATTCAGTATCCAGAGAAACCCTAGTCATACACATGGGGGCATGTGCACATGCACATATTAACTACTTCTGCCTACTTTGTGCTATTAAAGCTATTCATACAATATGTTCCATACCAGTTTTATTTATAGAGCACTTTAAACATCTACAAAACCAAAGTGCTGTACACATAATTTAACAGACATACAATCAGTAAAAATAAATTTAGCAAATAGTTAAAAGTCAACAGCACAGAGATGGGATTTAAAACAGACAGGGAAGAGTCTGATGTTCACTGAAGGTCGTTCCACAGTTTAGGGGCTGAAGCAGCAAAAGCTGCACACTTAGGAGCAGCTGATCACATGACTTGAGGGATCCAGAGGGTATGTGTGGATGTATGTATACATATATACAAAGTATATAGCTTTTTTAACACAGGCTAGTGCAAATCAACCAAGAATCCAAACATTTAAAAGACTGATGTAAGAAAGGCGGGGTGCTCAATTCGGTTGACGGGGTGGAGGCGGGGAACCCCGCTTGTATAATGGTAGTGGAAACACTGTATATATATATATATATATATATATATATATATATATATATATATATATATATATATTAGGGCTTTAACAGACTACTTGAGTAATCTACACATATCAACGTTTTAAATTTCATGTCGAGTATTCGTGGTGACATCATTATGCCACTGTTACGTAATCCCGTCACATGTCACGTGATATGCACCGGGCGTGGGTTACAAAATGGATGCCTCCAAGCAGATGGATGGAGCATATATATA